GCTAACTCTTACATCTTAATTTAACCCATATCCATTAATCTGTGCATCACCATGAGGTTGTGGCCTATCAGCAAAGTTACAGCGTCTATCTCCAGCAGCAGCTCCATGACTTCTCTCTGACTCTGCCCTCTTTCTTGCAGCATTCAGCCTAGCTTTTCCCGCCTAACTAAGTTCTACCTTGCTATAGGCCAAGCCAATTTCTTTATTCATTAACCCATAAAAGCAGCACATAGACAGAAGGACCTCCACATCAGAGCAAGACACAATATCTGTGGGCTCCCACTGTCTTCTCACTTCAAATGACCCAAACAACAACAAAATCCCTCACAGGTGGCCCAGCTGCTTGGGTCTTCACTGATTCTAGATGTAGTCAACTTGACAACCAAGATCAACCATCACACACCATTACACTGTGACTTCACAGTCTTTCTGCTCCGATTCTCATTGTTATTTTTTTCAGTGTATTGCTTCTAGGTCTACACTTGTCCTTTTTCTCCCAGTTAGTGTCAGATTTTCCTCCCTTTCATGTTCATCTTTAATTGTCTGCCCACAGTTGAGTTTTTCTTTATTACTTGATGTGCACTTTTCCAGAGAGCTGGCTCTTGCCTGATGAGCCACAACAAGGACGTTTTGTTTTCCCTACTCTGCTCAGTGAGAGTATGAACTATTCCAAACCTTGTTTGGCCTTAAATACTGCTTGGTACACTGCTGTCTGGTTAATTCTCCAGCCTCAGGTGCACAGTCTGTTTTTAGCTAAAAGTTCTAGGGAAACCCTCCTTCAGCCCTCTGGAGCTCTTACTGTCTTTGCATTCTCCCTTTAACACTCTGTCCCGTAATATGGATGTTTGTTTGCAAAACTCACTGTGACTGCCAGACTTTGCTATCCTGTGTTGTGACCTGGAAGTAGCTGGCAAGCAGTGTTTCCTTTCTGAGGTATCAGTCACACCCTGCATTACTGTTGTCTGATGTTTGAAAACCAGTGTTTTGTATGTATGTTACACTATTTTGTTGTAGTTTGATGGTAAGTTTACCTTTTAACACTTGGTCATTTGGTATGTGTTAAAGTATATTTATTACATATTTCAAACGAGATTTATTTTATTTTTTGAGAGTCTTGCCTAGACCAGCCTTGACCTCTTAGTCCTGCCTCAGCCCTGAACCTAAGATTACATGTGTGTGCAATCATAAGATTACTTTTTATTTAGCAACTGTTTAAATCCTGCCATGTTCAGATACAAATTTGAGCTCACAAAATAGATGTATGCAAACAATGGCACCTAAAAATAAGGACAAACCACTTGGAAGAATAAAGGAGATGTTGAATGTTGGGAAAGAGGCAGGGAAAGATGAGAGAAGAGTCAAGCTTTCCTCAGAGAGAGATCCTTGAAGATGCATGAAGAATGAGTGCAGGTTAGCTGAGTGAGTGGGTTTAGAGCATGACATAGCAGGGATTGGTCATTTATTAGTTGTGATCAACAGTATGGATTGAGGGCAAGTTGTGGTTGACTCTATGGTCTTGGTTTGCTGACTTTTAATGAAATAGATTGGAGAGTGTTTAAAGAAGTTTTATTAGGGTTTTAAGCATACTTTTTTTTCCCATCTGAGATAGAGTTTCTCTGTGTAGTCCTGACTGTTCTGAAACTCCCTCTATAGACTAGGGTGGCCTTGAACTCAGACATATCTGCCTCTGCATTGGAGTGCTAGGATTAAAGGTGTGGTTCCCCCCAATACCTGGCTTAACAATACTTAATTTTTATAGTAACTATACTTGACTCAGTCTGTTTTGTGTTACTGTAACAAGATACTTAAGGTAAGTTACTTCTGGAGAGAATAGATTTGTTTAGCTCACAGATTTAGAGACTCAAAGCCCCAGATTGCGTAGCTCCACTTTTTCAGCCTCTAGTCAAGGCTTTCTAGATAAATCACAACATAGTAGATGATATTATGGCCCAAGTTTGTGCTGGAGGAAGAGATGAACGGTGGGACTGGAAGCCGGACAGCTGGAAGGAGCTGCTGTCTACAGCTCATGGGTGCTTAATCTAGTCCCATGGGAGCCAGAACTGCCATGGAGCAACAGTAAATTATTTGTGAAGGCTGTGCCTCCAGGGCCTAGAGATCCCCAGAGCCTCAACTCTTTAATGTTCCACTGTCTTTACCATTCTCATGACCAACTCTAGGACGTGATCCTCTAGGGGCAGGCCATGTCCAAACCCTAGCAGAGATGCTTACTTGTAAATGTCTAGTAGAACATTTAGATAAGAGGATTTGAAACTGAAGCATAGGATGGAACTGAAACTCTAAATTAGAAACTTAATTGTGTAGTTTAAACGACAGATAAAGTATCTTTGGAAAACTAAAAGGAAGCAAACCAATGAGGACAAGGATTAAAGGAAAAAAACTAATATTGACAAAACTGGATCTTCTAAGTGTGTGGCTTTAGAAAAAATCTGATTTATAGGTCTTGGTTTGAGAGCTTGTGAAGATCGTGGGTTGTAGGTGTAATTTCTGGTGGGAAGGTGTTTTACGCCTGAGTCCTCTGATTATAAAAAGGTCAAGTTACAGGTGGAGTTGAGTTGAACAGTTCTTAAACTGGAGATGAAGTAGGAAGGCTTGAGAAGTTGTAGGTTTTTTAATCATTAAAGAATTTATGTACATCTAGAAAAATATAAGATAATTACCCATGATAAAACCCCTCTCTGTAGCCTGCCTACTATATGCATGTGTGTGTGTTTACGTTTACTCACACTCGGTTACAGATTTTACACTGGGTGGGATAATGCATGCATGCTGGAACTGGCCTTATTTGATAATTTTTTAAAAAGATTTATTTATTTATTATGTATACAACATTCCTTCCATGTGTGCCTGCAGGCCAGAAGAGGGCACAAGATCTCATCATAGATGGCTGTGAGCCACCATGTGGTTGCTGGGAATTGAACTCAGGACCTCTGGAAGAGCAGCCAGTGCTCTTAACCGCTGAGCCATCTCTCCAGCCCCATTTGATAATTTTTTTATCTTCTCATAAAATCAGGTAGATGGTATTTTGTAACATTAAAAAAAGTTCTTGTTATCAGTTTCTGGAACTGTTTTCAAGATGTTTCCTTTCCTAGGTTTGTGCAAATCATTTGCAGTATTCTGCAAATCTGCTTCCTCATCATTTTCCACATCTGGATAATAAGTGAATTTATTTAAATCAAGGAACTTATAGATTATTTTTACTTTTTATTTCTGGTTCACTTACCAGTCTTGCACTATTTTTTTGTGAGTTTTGTGGAAGAATGTGTGCTGGGAGGTTTGAGATGTGAAGTTGCAGGATCGGAGGTGTAGATATTTGTTCAGCACCTTGCATCTCTGTTCTGAGTTCTTTATAGTTGTTTCTCTAATCGTTTCTATGTCTCTTTATGAATTTGTGATTTTTTTCTTCTAGCTATGTGTGTGCGGTTGTTTGTTGATGCACATTGCTTTTGCGTTGTTCCTTAAGAGATTTGTTAGCAGTGTTTTTATTTCCTGTTTCTTCCCTAAGCTCTAGCTATTCCACTTCTAGCTGTTGCATTCTGCTAGGTTTGTCTCTCAGCACTATCTTTTCAATTAAGCTTCCTCATATTTCTTTACTGTATTGTGATTCCTTGATTAGAATTCTTTACTCATCCAGAATAGGGCATGAGCAGGTGTTAAGTGTGCAGCTTGTTATAACAGTATTTTATGGGAAGATGTTACATGTTTGCTTGGGCAGTTATAAACTAGAATAATCCTCCCTTGCTGTTTTTCTTTGTCTTCCACCTGTCTTTGCAGTTCCAAAGTTTTTGTTTTGTTTATTTCCCCCAGAAGAGTGCCATGTCATTCCATACGGATTCTCTTTTACATTGCACAGATATTCTTTTGGTAGGTATTTGACTTAAGTTAAATACAAAGCAGCATGTCTCTGTGCTCCTTGACATGATGATCATGGGCTAAATCTCTGGAACTGTAAGCAAGTGCTCAATTAAATGCTTTCTTTTCTAAGAGTTGGCACGGTCATGGTGTCTCTTCTCAGCAATAGAACAGTGACTAAGAGAGATGATGATGTGTGATATACACTCACACCTCAGTTTTATCTCTGTAGTGAAAGTATGGAAAAAGAATATGAAATTAGCACTTTACTAAACTTTAGACTTTTTAAAATATGGGGGGGGGACTACAATGAAGTTGTGCTGAAGTGACTGGCTTAGAAACCTCAAATAGGCATGCCTTGAAGAGACTCGTTTAACCAACTGAAGATACTGAAACAACTTTTCTTATATATTTATTGCTTTAATTTTTTTGTTTTTATTATTTAGAATTCAGTTCTCAGCTTCTGCCCTTTACTGTAATCCCACATTTCCCCATGAGGCTTTGGGTCCAATAAGACCATTGTTTTCTCACTGTCCTTAGTGTGTGGTACGAGTAGACCTTAAATGAATGGACAGCACTCTGCACAGATAGAGCAGCTGGCTGGCTGCATAATGCTCTTAGTCGGTTGAAGTCCCCAAAAGTTTTTTTTTATGAAAGCATTATTAAAAAGTTTAGTATTAGTTTGAGAGCTTTATGTGTGAGGTATGTAATTCTACCAATTCCTTTCTGAACTCTAGGCATTGGTATAAGCTCAAACTTCCAGATGAGGATTTTGGTTTTGTTCACCTGTAATTTTACAGTACATGTACAAATTTCACATTCTCACCTGTGTAGTGTTAAAACCTTCAGTTGCATGGGTAGTAATACTTTCAGTGTTTAGTGTTGCTTCAGGGAAAGATGAGTGTCTCTGGGCTACAGAAATGGATTCCTTCTTGTGACAGTGTACAGGTTTATAAATGTTTTCCCCACATAACATATATATGGTTGCTAAATGAGCTTTTAGGTCTCAGTACTTTTGTTCCTATTTTTCTTTAAATGCATGCATTTGAAGAAATTCTTTAGTATAAAATGCTTGCTTGAATCACAAAAATGAGTAAATAAGTTGTTTTCTTTTCATATGTCTCCTTTAGGTGTTTTGTGAATTTACTCTTCAGCGATCGCATACTGCAGCCATACAATTATGGCAGCTTTCCAGCCTTTCAGGAGCAGTCACATAAAGAATAAAGCATCTGTCCGGAAAGTAAGTCCAGGGTATTAGGTTCCTTTCAGTGAAGGGTAAAAAAAATATGTCGGTTCTTTTCTAGTTTTTAAATGAAGCTCAATAGTTAACTTCTAACATTCAAATGCTGCAAAGGCCAGCGTGTATGAAGACAGTGGTGTGAAGTCATGGTTGTAATGATGTTAGTCTCAGAGCACAGTGCCTCTCATTTCTGCACAGACATTTTCCATCTGGATTTTTTTTGAGTTAACTATCTTATATATCTTTATCACTACCTTAAAAGTGTATAAGAAATATTAACCACTCATTTATCCAGCAAAATGCATTTGAGTGCCTGTTGCATGTCAGGACTATGCTAGATGTTGAGTAATTCATGAGGTAGTGAAAAATTACTTTTCTTGTGTGTATGGTGCTATGGGTTGAACCCCAGGCCTTGAATGTGCAAATAAGTTGCTCTCCCACTGAGCTTTGTTCCTAGCCCCCTTCACATCCTCTTCCCACCCTTTCCCTTTTTATCTTGATATACGGTCTTAGCACATTAGCTAGGCTGACTTTGAAGTAGCTTTGTGTGCCTGACAGGCCTCGAGCTCGCCGCTGCTCCTGCCTGTCCTCCCAGGTAGCGAGGAGTGCAAGCCTGCAACAGGCTTGGCCATTAGTTCTCATCATTACTTACTCCTCCTAAACCAGTTTACTTAGTCTGCATTCCGACTTTGGGTTTTGTGTTTGCGATAACTAGAGGAGGAAGAGAAGAAAGGAGATTAGAGGATGCTGTCTGGTGAGAGTCAGTTCCTGGACTTCAGCCTCTTCTTATGACCCTGTTGACCTTGCCTGTGAACAAGATCTTTGAGTTCATTAAGGTGTTTTCCTTGCTGTTCTAATTATATTTTGATGGTTCTTCTCTCTTTGGAGAATGCTTATTCATCTAAGGTGGGTGAGGGTGGGTCAGCTTGTCATAGTCTGCGGTAGCAGGTACATTGTGTACCCTCTCACATTTGGTATTTGTATTTCTCTGAACTCAGGCATTTACCTTGCGGCTTTATGTGTAGTGACTTCTGACTAGAAATGCCATTTGCTCTAAGAATGTCATGAATTTATATTGATACTTCAAGCTCATATTTATATTTTTTCTTGTTTATGTACACAGATTAGGGTGAAAACCTCCATTAATGAAAACGAAACTTACATATTGGCAGTTTTAAGGTCTACTGACTAGTTGGAAAAAAAAAAAAACTCAGAACCATAAGCAACTCATGTATTTTCTACTTGGATTCACCTTCTGTTAGCATCTTGCCATATCTACTCTCCTGTGCATACCTTATGTTTCTCTTAGTAATTGTGTGGAAAATGCCCTTTGGACCTTGCTTTATGTGTTTTATTTATACTCCTAAGAAAACTGTTTGTCTGAAACTGCATCTGACATTTAGTCTGATGTATCCCCCGAGTCATCTCAGATGCCCTCATAGGTTTCTCACATACTGCATTTGAGTATTTTTATTACCACCATTCTAGGCCATTCCAGTGGTGTAGGTTTTTTTTCTCATGATATCACATGAGAAAAACAGCCAGTAAAACACCCCAAGTTAGTTTTCAGTGTAATTCTCATCTGGAATACCGCAAAGGTTTTGTTTTCTTCTTCGCTATCAAGTTAGGAGAAGCATATCATTGATGTTTTTGAGGAAGCGGTCAGGATTGTAACCATCTGTTGTCTCTAGTATAAATGCAGAATAACTTTAAGTGTTTAGTAAGGAAACTATGTCATGTGTCTCCCCAAAGCTTTTAACCCAGTAGATTTAGGATACATTGATAACTCTTTCCAAATCAGTTAATTACATTGAGAGTTACAAAGAAGATTTTCTAATGGTATCAGTTTGTCTATATTTGTCAACCAGTGATCATAGGTAAAGAAGCATGCTGTATAACTGAATGCAGGAGTTGTGATGCATTATCATTTCTGTTCTTTTTGATGTTTTGATTATTCCAGATTTAGCCAGCAGGGATTCCTGGCTAATACACTGACTTCTGTGTTCTTTTGAAATTGCCCTATTAGTCTGTGAACACTTCCCTGTTGTCTGGCACAGTTAGATGGTGTAGCTTTTTTGTATGTTCTCTGTCTATGATCTGGAACCAGACATTTTTTGAGGAGCTCTGGTTATTTTAATTGATGATTGGTATTTAAAAACCAAAATCAGGTTATGGGATCTGCTTATTGCTACTTGGGGGTCGTTGCTTCCAAGCCCCTTCAGTGGAAAAGGTTTTATATATATAAAGAAATACGGGCTAATGTTAATAAGTGAGATTGAAATTTAGTGTTACATACTTTTTTCTTGAATAGTATTATCTCTTAAATTATAGATTTGTATTTAATAAATTTTTCATAGCAGCTATTTGTTGACTTCATGTAAAATGTGAGGAGAAAAAGAGAATGGAATATAGTTTCCATGATTTGGCTCAATGGGTAGAAAAAATAAACATATGAGTATTATAATCATAATATGTTATGATATAGATCAAGTGGTTTTAATCTGAAAACAGTATAGGAGAAAATTAGACTAAGGGATGGGGGAGATCTTCAGTCTTGGCATTTCTGTAGGTCAGGACTGCAGAGTAAGGCATTCCCGTAGACTAGAAGAGCAGTACGTACCTGGAGGCAGAGGGAAGTGGGTGCTGCCTTTCGGTCTGACTCAGTGTCCTCTTCCTTCCTCGGGTCCTTTGCATTTGTGACAACTTCCTTTCCCAGACATGAGTCTCTTGCCTTATTTTCATCATCCAGCTGCCTTAAGACCTGGAAAATCTTATTTTTAGCTACTATGGTTTTCTTTGTCTCTAAAGGGAAGAATCATTGGTATTGATTTGTCATTCTAGTTCCTTTATCTCACACATTATATGAATTGTTTCTGTTATGCTAGTGACTTGGAAATAAAATACGTGATTTGTTAATTTTAGTGTAAAAAAAGTGTAAGTAAATCTGGAGCGTAAGACCTGTATGGTCTTCGAGTAACTTGACTTTTTTTCTTAGCTGAACTGAGTTTCTCAAATAATATCAAAAAATGTCAAATGAATTAATTGAAGAATGAGTAACTCTGTAAAACTCAGTAACTTAGCTCTCTTCCATATCTTAGAATTAAGTTGTCTTGTTTATTTATTCCCCAGAACTTCAGTGAAGATGTGTTCCAGTCTGTGAAGTCTTTATTACAGAGTGAGAAGGAGCTGTGCAGTGTATCTGGAGGAGAGTGTTTAAACCAGGATGAACACGCCCACTTCGCTGAGGTTTGCACATGACTTTTTGAACCCTTTCCCAGTCAAGCACAGTATGTTTTCATGCACCTTTGCAGGACTGCAGGGTGTTTAAAAAAAAGTACATAATCCTAACATAGGTATTGGGAGACTGTTGGTTTCTTTGAGGGTGTGACCTGGTATGTTGACCATGCTCCAATGCAGGCCTCATACGTAAGAGTATTTGGCCAACACAAATTGGACCTGATTTTTTTTTTTTTAAGAGAACACAAAGTTGGGTGGGAAGGGGGGTAGCGGCTAATCTGGAATAAGTTGAAGGGTGAATATGATCAAAATACACTGGGTGAAATTCTTAAATAATTGATAAAAGTGTGATTTAAAAATAAGTGTATATTTTAAATCATAGCTAACATCATTGGCTGTTATCAGCCTGTTTGTAAGTGCAGAGGTGTTACTAGCCTCTCCTTGGGCAGGTAGAGCTAATTCAGTGGCTGCAACTTTTATACTAAGTTTTTTTTTTTATCCTGAAACATAAAAAATACACTTATTTCATGTAGTCACTTTTTTAGTTCTTTTCTTGACTGTTTCAGAGCTTTGATTTAAAGTATAAAGTAGGAATTAAGATACTTACCACTTGGGAATGGGATGAATATATTGTTTATATATTTTATCTTTCTCATCTGTTTATCTGCAGTAGCCCATGTTTTCATCTTTGTTTGAATTTATTGTTATTAAAAGGAGTAATATTTTTTCTTTTGATTTTTGAGACATGGTTTCTCTGTGTAGTTTTGGAGCCTATCCTGGCACTTACTCTGTAGACCAGGCTGGCCTCAAACTCACAGAGATCTGCCTGTCTCTGCCTCCCAAGTGCTGGGATTATTGGCGTGCGCCACCCCCGCCCAGCGAAAGAGTGATATTCTTTAAAGCATCTGTATACCATCATCACATCCATACTACAAATTAAGAAATATGGTATTGGGAGTTAAGACTATAGCTTGAGGATAGATCATTTTCCTAGCATGTGCAGAGACTAGGTTTAGTATCTATGATCAAAAAAAGTGATATTCAGTCTTCACAGCTAAAAAAAATTGGTACTCAGACTTAGAACTGTCCTTTTTGAAATGAGTTTTCTTTTTTGGAGGGGGATTTTCAAGATAGAGTTTCTCTGTGTAACAGTCCTGGAACTCATTTTGTAGACCTGACCAACCCTGCCTGGCTGAAATGAGGTTTCTAATAAACTTTGTTTTCTTGCTTGGTGGTGGGAGGTTCCTATTCCTGAGGGATTCTTTACCTGATGTTCCCTAGAAAGAAGAGTAAACCTGTTAGGTGAAGAGAGTTCTGCCACCTGAATCTCCCCACTGTCAACTAGCTAATTATGCCACTTGATTTATCTTCTTTGCCTCCCTCTTTCACTTTATCTTAGTAGGGCTGAGCCATTCTTAATTCACTCAGTTGTTGCATGTGTGATAAGTGTCCTGTGCCCTCCCACTCAGTTTTGGAGCCCATATTCCCTGATTGTTCACATGCCCATGTTTCCAGCCTGTTCCTTCATGAGGTCTTCCCTGTCATCCAGAGGTAGCAGACTCCCTTGGTATCTCCAGGACCCAATGACAGCTTTTTTTTTCTTTTGTGTTCAGCAAGAAAACTTGAAAGAATAGAAGAAGATTTCTGTCCCACTTTAGGGTATGGATATCTCAAACACCTAAGTTTTGTTTTCTTTTTCTTTTTTTCCCCGTTTCCAGTGTACTGGTTCATGTTAAGCCAAGTATTTCTGAATACCAAGTACTGTTGCAACTTGGCAGTGGCTGACTTAAAATTTTATTGTTGTCTTTTAAGTTTTCCTACAGGTATATATTATATATCACATCGTTTCCCTGTACTGTTTCCCATACCTTCCCTTTCTACATCTCTTCTGTTAATCCGTGTCTCTATAGACAATTTTACTTCTTTCATTTAATACATAAATGCATATTTTTATGTGATTGTATAAAATCTAGGAACATAAATATCTGCTTGAAAAAAGGAAAGAAATAAGTGCCTATGTTTTAGGGAGAGAAACTATGTTGCAATTGCCTGGAAATGTTATGAGAAACAGGCTTCTATAGGTTAACAGTTTGCCAAGTGCTGAGAGAGATGCCCAGAGGGTACCTAACACTTCACTGAATTAGTAGCCATAGTTCATGAGAGTAAAGTGTCAGGGTAATTTTAGTTTCTGATTATCTTCTGAGTCTTCCGAAAGGAGTCAGGGTATTCAGTGTAGTTTTACATCTTAACCATCCCACTTCTCCCCAGTGTGTTAATTGCTATTATTTAAATATTTCTAGAAACAGCACTTATTTGGTAGATAATTCACAATTTTTTTCCAAAAGGAAAGGTGCTAGTCTGATGACAAGGACATAAATATACATTTAAAAAATTGCTTTTCAGCCTATATTCTTTTTCAGTCTAAATTGGAGTACTGAGAATTAAAAAAAAAAAAAAGTGAATGTTGTTTGTCCTGTGAGTTAGGAAGAAGAGAACAGAGGACAGCAGTGAGGAAAATAAGGTCATAGGAAACTTCCCAGTTAATCACAGCTAGTTAGTTTGGTACATTGCCTTTCAGTATTATTTTTCATGTTTATGTTTTTTTTAAGAATAAGGAACAAGTTATGTGCATATTATGTATTTTTTTGTAATTTGTTCTTTTTACTTAATAATATATTTCATTGTCCCATTAGAAAATGCATAGAAATCTGATGTCTGTGACCTTGTGTTGAGAATAGCTGAGGGTGCTGAAGGGAGAATCACACCCAATGATGAAGGAGCCTGGGGGATCTACACAAGGAAGGTCTCTCTGAGAAGGCTCCTGGAGGAAGACCTTGTAGGATGAAGAGGAGCCAGGCATAGAAGTGCCTGAGGAAGAGAACATATCAAGGGGATACAACGGCCAGGGCCTTAAGCAGCCATATACAGGACATGTGTTAGACCTAGAAAAGGGGTCCATGGGTTTGAATGCAAATGGGGGCAGCTTGAAGGCATCCACTAGCAACACTTGGAAGCATGGACAAGTGGCATGACAGTGGACAAGGACAGTGATAGTGGAGGAAAGAGGACATGGCAGTGGGGATGGGGACGAGTAGGGATGTTGAGCTATGCTTTGAGGGTGCAGTTGGGTGAGTTTGCTAGAGGGAAAGGTGGATGAGGGGTAGAAGTTTCGAGAGCTACAGTGTGATGGAACCATGATCTTTGGAAGTACTACCTGTCCCATGTACTCTGCATGCTCTCCGTGCTTAATCAACACTCTGAGACAAGACTTGAAAAGGTAAAGTAATGGAGAGTTCTTTTTCTTTCTTTTTTTGATTCAGGTCACATTTCTGGGATTTAATGAAGAAACAGATGCTGCTCATATACAGGTGTGGTCAATTTATTGAATTGGCAAAGACTGGGAGACTACTTAAAATTTTTGGAGATTTGAAAATTTTACTTTAATGCTCAAAATTTACAATTTTAAGATGTCTTCTAAAGTTAAAAGATAAGGCTGAAGCTAGACATAGTGGTGCATGCCTTTATTTCCAGAACTCAGAAAGCAAAGGCAGCCTAGTCTTTGAGTTCAGGGCCAGCCTAGCCTCAGGCTGTTCTGTATAATGTGTTCCATTGCTGCACAATGAGTTCCTTCCCTTCACTCTGCACCCTGTCTCCCCCAGAACAAAAATGGCATTTGAGATCAATATTTTGAGTGTGTTATGTACATTTTCACTTTCAACATTTTTATTAAGGATTCTTCTGTGGTTATTTTTGAGACAAAGTCTTGTTATATATCCGTGATCTGGCCCTGAACATGTAGAAACCCTGCTTCAGCCTCCCAGAGGTTGGGATAACAACTGTGTGCTATCATGCCTGGCTTTTTACAGATAATTCTGCTATGGAAAGGAGCTTTAGGTTTGACTATCAAAATCATTTAGATGAAAGCTTTAAACCACAGGCCATTTTCTTGATTCTTTCCATTATATTGTATGTGACATTTGTTTATTTTAATAAGTTTCATAATTTTACTTTGCAGTAAAAATTCTTGTATTTTTATTAAAGTAGAATTAAATATAAGAGATCAAATTTGTAAAAGTCTCAGTTTTTACACTTTTATAAATTAGTACACATGTTTCTAGCCTGTTTCATTTAGGCATTTATAGAGGGATGGACATTTGAGGCTAAAAGCTTGACAATTGTATAAGTTACTGTCAATACAGTTCTTCCTTGTGCTGCAGTTAGACATGGAGATTTTATATTAGTTCTTTCTGGTGGCTGGAACGAGCAAGCAGCCTTCCTACGACAGGTCACAGTCTCTCTCCAGACAACATACAGATATATAACTGGATGTGGAAGGCTGATGCAGGGTTACACTGTGAGTCCAGCTAGGGCTGCATAGTTTCAGACCAGCCTGAGCTACAGAGTGCAACTGTCTCAAAATCAAAACACAAAAACATTTGTAAAGTGTTCTATTGGTCCTTAGGGGGTGCAGACAAGATCATATTTACAAAGCCTCTACTCTCTGTGGATCGAAGACTTGAATGAGTCTTGAGTTGGAAAAAAAAAAACAGTTACTAAAAAAGGAGAGGAAGTGAAAAAGAAAGCTAGCTTCCCTTTAGCCTTCATAAATCTTTGAAGGCTTACTACAAGACCTTCAGAAAAAATGGACTTGTATTTTTTACAGAGTTAAAACTCAAGCTCTGGAGAAGGGTGTTCAGTAGCTTTCTGCATGAAAAACTAGTCACACCAAAGGATTTCTGGATGACCATTGCTAGAAAACAATTAGATGTTAATATCATAGATGGATGAGGAGCCCTGTTAAAATCGATTAGGTAGAGCAGCAGCAATGTGCTTGATAACTATAAATCAGTACTAAATAGCCTTAGTTTGCTTTATTTTTGAGTTTGAAAAATGGCTCTCTGTAGATTAACTGTATATGTGCTCTGTTATGAAGCAGACACTTTATTGACCAGTTTTATGGTTTTTTGATATAGACAATGTGTGGACACCTTGACAGTGTTATTCTGTAGTGTTACTCATTGCTGTCACTGTTATTATTTAAAACTAGGATCTAGCTGCAGTTTCACTGGAACTTCCAGACCTTCTGAATTCACTCCATTTCTGCAGTCTAAGTGAAAATGAAATCATTTGTATGAAGGATGTCAGTAAATCGTCAGCTGTCAGCAGTAGTCCTCTAAGTCAGGTAACTGATGGATCATTTCTAATCAGGTTTGTCAGGGCAGGTTTTTACTATATTTGCTCATTAATAGTGAACTTTTAAGTGGTTGGAGCTTTTCTTGTTATTTTAATTTAGTCTCAAGAAAATGGTATTGATAAAGATCTAACAAAGCATTGCCAGCGTTGAAGGATAGAATAATTTTGATCGTGGCTTATAAACTAAATTCCCCCCTGTGAAGTTCTCAGCAGTATGCAAGCACATACTAATTTTCTGGTGAAATGTTACTCTTCAGATTTCTTTGTATAATGTGAGTGACTGCTACCCCATATTTACATGTGTTCCATGCTGCATGTTCTAGCAAATGGACTTTCAGTTAACTTTCTGGTTAAAGATTTCTCCATGTAAAATGGACAATGATGTTATTTTCCTAAGACCGTCTTTAGTTCATAAGTACTTTTGATAATGTATGAAAGAAAAATGCTTTGCATTTTAGGAAGTATGATATTTAAAATTGTATGAATACTTTACAATTTGGAGAACTTATTCTAGCTTTAAAATGCTGCTTTGCTAATCCTGAGGTCGGATGATTAGAATTCTCCCTTGTTTCCTGGATCATGTTGTTCACTCATATATATTGGCTTTATTTGCTGGGACATAAAGAGTGATTATCTGTTATGTTTGGTTTCTCCTTTTTAAAAATAAATTCCTTATCAATGTTTGCATTTAAAAATCAGTGTGCATAGGGAAAACTAATGGCTCGTGTTCTTAAAGCTATAAGCATAATTGTAAGTCTTAGTACTAGAGAAATATAAAGTCAAAGATAAGAATAGTTCTTTTTTGGTAGGAGGGAAGCTGACATGTTGGGAGCTATAGGAAAATGGAATAACAAGTAAAATAGATCCTGGATCTATTTTTAGATAGATCTATATTCCATATTTCCTATAGCTCTCAAGCATTCACAGTGTAGTGGGTGAGTTTGGTAAATGATTAAGTAAGACACATTACAGACATAGACACTAATATAGAAAAAAATAATTTCCAAAGAGACTAGATTGACAATAGGTTCTTTGATATCTAAGGAGATAGAGACGGAAGAATCTGAATACATGGGAGGAAAAAAAGATTAAGGAAAAAATTAAAGTGAGATTTAAATGGAAAAGTAAATATACTTCTTTAGATAAACTTTAGAAAAATTAAATACTTAAAATCATTAAACATTGCAGAGTTAAGATATCTTTCAGGATGCATGCATTTCTTGCTCCCTCTCCCTCTGGCTTATTTCTAGGCTTCACTTCCAGGTAATATTTTATATTTAAACTTAAAACTGATTTTTATCATCTTTCATCTCTCCCAAGAGTCATCATTCTGGAATGCTTTGTGTCATGAGAGTGTCACCTACATTACCAGGACTCAGAACTGATTTTATCTTTAGTCTCCTAAGTAAATATGCTGCTGGTATAAGACACACCCTGGACACATACTTGCATCAGAAACACCACCTTGAGACCGCTGATGAAGAAGATGATGATGATACGAACCAGTCTGTGTCCTCCATAGAGGATGACTTTGTCACTGCCTTTGAGCAGCTAGAGGAGGAGGAGAGCGCAAAGCTGTATAATGATGGTGTGTGTCTTTTGCTGGACTTTTTCCTAGAAATAGATTGAAAGTTTGGTTTTGAAGTTTTAAAAAAGACTTAACAGTTGAAATTTACTTTTAAATTTGATCCAGTTTAAGCATTTTAATAGTTTTACTTATTACAGAAGAATTAATTTTTCTGTGATATTTAAGTTCATTATTAGCTACTTTTTAATTTGCTGTTTCTCTTCTTAGATAGTATTGTTCAAGCCTTGTTTATCTCAGACCCTACTCTCTGAAACTTTGCCATGCTCAAATGTCAAAACAGTTAGCTGGCAGTTACAAGTAATTTTTCTAACATAAATGACAATGTGCTGAGCATTCCATGGGTCATATACTTGAAGGCATAGGGTGAAATGGGATTGTTTTATTAAAAGGTACATTTCTTCCTGGGTGTTAGGGAGAATGAGATTTACTATACTATACTATACTGTACTATACTATACTATACTATACGAAACATTTATGATGTAAATATTTTGTATTTTATGTCAGTTTCTTAAAACAAGTTTTTAAGAGTAACATAAGAACTTTATTTTTTACCCGTTAGAAATAAATATTGCTACACTAAGGAGCCACTGTGATGCTGCCTCTCAAACTTCTTCTGGTCACCATTTAGAAACCCAGGATTTCAAAGTGCTGATCAGTTATGGACCACAGAGGTCATTGGCTAAGCCTTCATCTTCAGCACATGTTCTGGGACGCAAAGAAGCATCTTCTGTGAAAACATCAGTTACAACATCAGTTTCAGAGCCCTGGACACAAAGAAGTCTCTACAGGTCACCCAGCGCTTCAGATAAAGGCAGGGACACACAGCAGATACTCCTTCCTCCTTCGCCTGCCAACTCCTCAGAGTCTGAGTGCTCCAGCCCAAGTCCTGTAATTTTTTTGGATGAAGAGGGATACCAAAAAAGTTTAAAAGCAAAACTTGAGCTGCCTGAAATTCCTGTGACAAAAGATGATGTAGAGGATTCAGACTCAGAAGTGAGCGAATTTTTTGATAGCTTTGATCAGTTTGATGAACTAGAGCAAACTTTAGAGACTTCTTGTCCATTTATGAAAGATCCTGGCATGGGGAAGCCATCACAGAAGATAGGGCATAGACATGAGAAATCTTGTATGAATCCTCAGAAGTTCAAGTTTGAGTGTCCAGCTCTTCCAGCTAATGTTAGAAAGCCAACTCCACGAAAACCTGAGTCTCCATTTGGTCACCTGTGTGATGCTCCAGATTCCCCTCGTCCAGTGATGGCGTCAGAAGACAGTGGCTTGTTTAGCCCTATTCGAGCCTCTGCTTTTAGTCCTCCTGGAAGCTGTACTCCTGCTGAATGTTTTTGCCAAACGGATACTGGTAGAGATAGGATTAATGAAAATCAGGATCCTTTTTATTGTACTTATGAAGATTATGCAAATAATCTTTCATGTGAAGTGCTAGGTTCAGTTCTTCATACTCATTGTGCAAATACAATGTCAGATATTAATAGTATTAAAAGGGAAGAAAATTATACTGTTGCTTTTAAGCCTGGGAATTCTGATCAAAAAAATAAATGTAAAAATAAATCTTCAATGATTACAGACAGTGTTCAGAAGTTTGCAGCAGATCTTGTAGGAAAAAGTTTTGGCAGTGCATTTAAAGACTTACAGAAAGGAGTTTCCTCATGTACCAGTGCATTGTGCCACTTGGCTGTCAAATTGACATCATCTGTTTTTCAGATGGCATTTAATGAACTTAGAAGACAGTGTGCATTTTCACTGAAAGAACGAGCCATTGGTAGCCTGGCTAGTTTTTTGGTGAGTGAAGCCTTATCAAATGCCTTGAAAGATTTACAGTACGTGAAAAAGCAGATGTTTACAAACACAGTCGCTAGGTTTGCCGCGGACCTTGCAGAAGAGCTTGTTTTTGAAGGTATCATGGAGGTGTGTCAGTTTTCATGTCCTCCGACACCTGCATCTCAACAGTGTCCGTCATTTGATTTTGAAGACAAAGCCGTGAAGTCTTATGCCAAAGATTTGTCTGAATCTGTAATACAAGAAGCCTTCATAGAACTGTCACAGACAGACGTGACCTTCACAACGAAGGCAGCAGTTAATGTTTCTATGGGTAATGTCAAACATGTGAGTGCAGAAAGTGTAGTGCCGCCTACACAGACCTGCACATTTTCCTCATCCCTTAGCAGTCAAGCAGTTATGATGACAAAACCAGTACAGGAACATAAGAAGGAATACACGGTGCAGCAGGCCTTGTTTTGTACTTCGGGAATTGTCACTTCTATACCAGTGCCCTTGGCAGGTAGTGCCCTTCTCCCATATCACATTTCATCTACTTTGTATCAGTCCAGATCTCATCTCTCATCAGAGGATAGTAAGGCGAATGGTGGTTCTACCCAAGAGCACATCACCACAGAAAACAGTGAAGATGAAGTGGACTGTATCAGAAATTCCCTTCTACCTTCAGAACTCAACCCATGTAACCAGAAAGACTTCAAGCCAACCAACGGTGATACTGACATACAGAGTCCTTCAGAATTAACTAGAGGCCCTGTGGTTATTAGCAACTTTTCTGCAGGAATGGTACATACAATTGTCAATGAGTCCTTAGAGTCCATGACAACCTTCAAAGCTACAAAACCTGTTGATGCACATGCAGATTATTTAACTAAAGTAAAAGGAAAAGCCTGTCCTCTTTCCCTTTGTGACCAAGCAGCACCACAACAGAGCAAAGCTAGCAATAAGGACATGTTTGCTGAACAGTTATCGAAGTCTATTATTAAACATTCCCTGGATAAAAGCAAATCAATGCTTCCAAATATAGATAACAAAACAGTTAGTAAGGAACGCATGCCTGTTCTTGGGGAAGAATCACAGTTAATCTTGGAGGAATCTCCCAATGACTTTCCAGATCACTTACCTCATGGTTCACTCTTGGTCGGAAACCATTGTGTTCCAGAACGTAAAGATTCTGTGGGTTTGGGATTTTCTTTAGAGACACTGCCACCTTGTCCACTGATGACAGGTCAGAAATCTGACTTGAAGGAGCTTGTGAAGAATAAGCCAGTGGACAGGCATAATGTAAATAATACTGCACTTGAGCCCTTGTCTTTTGGACAGGAAAACCCCTTCCGTCACTCACATGCTTTATCATCTGCAGTGCTTACTTGTGTGGATGGTTTGCATGTAGAAGATAAACAGAAAATCAGAGACAGAAACGGAATACCTGATACCCCTCCGTCAACTCCTTTGGTACCCTCTCAGACTAGTTCTGAATGGGACATCAAAAAGTTAACCAAAAAGCTCAAGGGGGAGTTAGCCAAAGAATTTGCACCTGCAACACCACCTTCTACCCCTCACAACTCCTCTGTTGGTAGTTTGTCTGAGAATGAACAGAATACTATAGAAAAGGAAGAGTTCATGTTGAAACTCATGCGATCTCTTTCAGAAGAAGTTGAGAGCAGTGAAGGTGAAGAGCACCCAGAAATGGATGTGAAGTCAGAGTACTCAGGGAAGAAAGTTCAGTTTGCAGAAGCATTAGCTGCACACATCATTTCTCTTGCAACTGAGATGGCAGCCTCCCATTTAGATCATGAAAGCAATCATGAATCCAGGGTTCAGAGTCAAAGATGTGTGCTATGTACTTCTCTAAATCATTCGGATGAAAACATACCGGCATGCAGTTTTGCAAGTGATATGGTAGCTGATGTCATTGCAGAAGCCACGAAAATTGCAAAAACTAGAAGTTGTACTCTTTTCAGGCAGGAGAAGAATAGTTGTCATGTTGATGTTGACCAAGGTAAAGGAGAGAAGCTGAATGTGGAGAATATTGCACACCCGGGAGAAGTAGATCAGTTTGTTCTTTCCTTACCAAGTTGTACACCAGGTCTGACGTACAGGTACCCCAGTTGTGAAAGTGTGACTGATGAATATGCAGGTCATGTTATCCAAGTGCTTAAACGGGAAGGTGGCAATGATGAGCTAATCATGGACCAGTATGCCAGTAGACTGGCTTATCGATCTGTCAAGTCAGGAGTGCAAGAAGCAGCTAAGACAGTAAAAATGAAGTGCAGTTCAAAAATGTTTTCACTGCACAATTCTCATGTGAAAATAAACAAGGAACATCATCAGGAAGCAGATAAAAAGAGACAAAGAAAAAGAAATGGCAGCCATCTTTGCAAATACCAACTGTGTGAACGGACACAGGATCCATGTAGAAATGAACTTTCTGAACTACACAGTTTTTCAGCTTCTCTTGCTAGCATCATAACAAGAGATGTGAAGAAACAGCTGACAGCCCCTACAGTTGACTTACCACAATCCTTAACAGAATCTTGTCTTTTTGAAAAATCTGGATGTATTGACAATGGCGAGAGTATTGTTGAACCAGAATTTTTGAAGTCTCATCAACCATTGCAAAACCATGAATCCTGCCAGAATACAGGCAGTTTAAGTGGACATAGTCATGGGGAGAATATTCAAGCTATAGAACAGTATGCTAGAAAAGTAGTGGATGACACTTTAGAGCTAAGTTTAGGACCTACAGTTTCCCACATTCCAGAGACCACAACATCAGCAGATAGAATCACATATGCAGAAAAATTGTCACCACTCCTGAATGGAGCTTGTAGATACTGTGACCTTAAGGAACGCCATGGTTGCGCCAGAAGTCCCTCTCAGCCCGCTTTAAAGCAGAGTGTGTGTGCAAGTGCTAAGCCAGGCTCCCATTCGAAACTCAGTAGCATCCATCTGAAGTCGAGAGTCTTTCATCTTGATGTGCCGCAGATTCATGTTAATCTTGATAAAAGGGCAGTGCTTGCAGAGAAGATAGTTGCTGAAGCTATTGAAAAAGCAGAGAGAGAGCTGAGCAATACCAGCCTGGCAGCTGATAGTGGCATTGGACAAGATGGCATTAGCTTTGCTGAGAGCCTTACCACAGAAATCATGACATCAGCTGTGACAGATGCGGAGCATGTTGTTAGCAGGTAGGTTTCAAATCTTCGTTGGGGCCTTGAGATAAAATGAAAAGCTAACTTTTCCTCTCTGTCCATATGTGTATGGCTTCATATCCTGTGCATGGTTGTCATGTGAAGTATTTGTTTCCCAATCCTTTTTGAGGGACAGTATCATTTACAGCGCTGGAAGATGAGTGAGAGAACAATGACCTCAAATTTATGGAGCTAAGAAGCAGGTAAAAATAAGAAACAGGTGAATTTTAGTCACAAATTTAGATTCGTATATTCACTACTCTGAGATTAACGTCTGTTCTGTGGCAGAAGAGGCTCTCTACATGTGACGTTGGATTGTTTTTATTCTTCCTCCCCATCAGAGCAGTTTCATAAGAGGAAGCTAAGTGGAAGTTCCTAAGCGCTCACTCCAGGACCTGGCAAATAACTTTGCTATTCTTTCTTCAGAATATTCATTTTCTTCTTTAGATGTGGTTAATGCTATGCCTTGAGTTCTTTCTGTGAGCTTGTTTTTTCCAGGCTGATACTCGCACAGACTTTCTTTGTACTTCTGCTCCTGTTTCTATTCTAGCACTTGTACCAGGCTTCTCGAAGCACTTTTCAAAGTCCACGTGGTTGTATGGAGTTCTGTATCACAGTTTTATAAAGTCAGAATGATTTAATGTTGAAGAATGATTGATTCAAATAGATTATTTGCTAGGATATTAACTGAATGGTTTCACTAATGTTCCTTTTCTCATAAATGTTTGATTAATGAAGGTAATCATAATAGACTATATAGTCGAATGTCACAAACCCATAATATTAGCTCACCAGGGTGCTATATGAATATCAAATAGGAAAGCATACTATAGAAGAATTTTAGAACAGTAATATAGACTTTATTTTCAATTACTATGAGCCCATTTACCTAAGTCATTACAAACCCCCTTTTTAGCCTCCTCCTGTGGGTCATTTTCTTTTAGAAAAAAATAAAAAGTGGTAGATAAGAGGAAAATTTGTTAAATAAAATAAAGTTGTGGTGCAGGATGGCTATGTTTGGAATACCGAACTTAACTGAGTTGTTATATGTTAAATACAAAGTGAGAATTGCCACAAAAGCAGAGAGGGCAGGGGCAGTTCAGGGCTTATTTTAGGTTTTAGGGATAGAAAAGAAATGAGCTTATATTATAGAAGAATAAGACAAACAGCAGAATAATGAGCTGAACAAAGACAACAATAGGCATGCTAATGTGGACAGGCAGATGGCCAGGAAACCTCAGCCATATACGGAGACCTACAGGAATGCTGAGAGTGGGAGATAGAGTCTTCCCCAGGTAGGAGCATATCAATTGGTTATCCAACACCCAGTGGTTAGCCCTGAAACATACAAGGAATACTATACAGACAAGCAGCTTGAATTTCTGTATTTAGAAATGTGTATGTCTGTCCATATACATACATGTATGTAACAATAATAAATGAAAAAAGTCATGAATTTGAAAGATTATAAGGAGGGGGATATGAGAGGGGTTGGAGGAAGATAAGGGGAGGGGGGAATGTTGTAATTATAATTTAAAAGAAATATTTAAAAATACATATTGCAAGTTCATTAAGAAAGGGAGTGTTGTTAGCAAAGATGAGCAAGAACTGTTGGGGCTGGCTTGCATTTTTGAATTGGGTAGCAGTTCAAAACTAATGGAGTAACACTTAAGCCAAGAACCAGAAGTGAAGATAGAAAAAATGATTGGGAATCTGGGGGTGCTGGAATCCATGCGAAGGGTTGGAGTACATGTGTGTAAGGCAGTGGAGACCTTGTGTTGAGTGACTTGGGGGACTGTAGGTGAGAAAGTGGACATCATGATTGCTCTGAAGCCAAAGGAAGGTTTGATGAGAAAACTGATAGTTTTTCTCTGCATACATAAAGCATCACTGTTGAGAACTGTGTTGAGTGCATACACACACACACACACACACACACATATGTACACACACATACATACATACAGATGGGATAATTATCATAGTTGCTCTAAATGGGCTTTTTTATCATGTCATAAAATATGAATGTCCCTTCTTTTAAAAAAATATATATTTTTTAAAGATAGGGTCTTACTACGTAGCCTTGGCTGACATAAAACTATGTAGACCAGGTTGGATTTGAACTCATAGAGATCTATTGTCTCTGCCTCCCAAGTGGTGTGAATAAAGGCCTGTGCCATCACTCCCTGCTAAGAGAGATGTTTATGATTCATGTTCTGAAGAGATTTGTCTAGTTTGAATATAGGCCAGGTTGACACAACTAGAATTTCAAATTTTTCTTGTTCTAAAAACCAGCAGGCGTCTCCTTAGGATGCAAATGGAGGTACTATTTTTACAGGGCAGATGATGCGCTTAGACCTTGTAGTAAGGTGCACTTCTGAGAAGTGTGAACTGCTGTAGACAGAATGTAGAGAACGATACTCAGGATGTCCCCGCCTCGCAGTGCGGCTCTTGCTGTGTTGTTCTTCAGTCTCATTGTTTGTGGGTGCAGTGAAGTGTTCAGGGGATGTCGGTGTGACTTGGAATATAATTTCATAGAGTCATCTCTATCATTTTGCCTCCTCGTCAGAATCTATGATGCTTCTGTTATTTTTAAAATTATTACCATGTGCTCTTTTCTTAGTTCAAAAGAAATGGAAGATTTTCCATCAACTGAGTCATTTGGCAGCCAACAACTGAATCTCAGTGTTGGTGAGGACAGTACTGGTAGCTGGTCCAACTTAAGTTTTGAGGATGACCATCAAGATGAAAGCAGCAGTTTCCACCATCTCAGTGAAAGGTAACTCTCATTTAATAGCTAATTGTGTGATAAAGGTCTTCAGACTTCAGCAGAGTGAACAATGGGTTTACATTATTATTTGGAAATTCTCAATTTGGCAGTATGTTCATATTTCTAACATTATTTTATTATTCCAAGTGTGCCTTTTTGGTTTGGTTTTATTTTAATTCTTTTTGGCTTTTGTGGTGTAGCTCAGACTGGTCTTAAAGTGAAGTTTCTCCCTCAGCCTCTTGGACTGGATTATATTATAGGCTGTGGATTATACTGTTCTGCCTGGCTTCTAAATGGTCGTGTGACACACAGTAGGGAGAGAGCATTTTATTCTTTCTGTTACACAGATGTTACTTCCCATGTTTATCTAATCCTTAAATGATGGACTTTTATTACTGACTAGATTGAAAAATCATTGTTAATAGAATATGGGCAAAAATTTTACTTTTGTGTTTTTCTTTGTTTAGAGAATCATTTTTTTAAAGTAAAAGATAGGACTTGAGGTCGTTCTCTCTTTTGTTTATAGTTGTGTGTTCTGTGCGTCTATATTTTCTGTATTTTTGTTTGCCTAATGACAGACTAATGGTAAAACTTTGGTTGTCTTTATGGTTTTGTAATGGAACTTTATTTGAGGATATGTTGAAAAGATGGCTTAGTTTTATTTTTATTCTTTAATGCATTGTAATTTATGAAAGTTCGATACTGCTAAAGTGAAAATGGGTAAGTAAATTACTTGAAAATGCTTAGAAACTACTTATTTTAGGTAATCATGACTTTGGTTACCTTGACAACACTTACTGATGCACAAGAAGTGAGTTGATGTTAAAGAACCAAAGTTCAAGTTTGTATAGATGATGACCAGCCAAGAGTAGGAAGTAAAGCTGCTTGTCACTGCAAACTAATGTGCTTACTAATTATTTTAATAATTAGGAATGATTAGAATTTTTAAGTTGCATCTTGAAAATTTTAATCTAAAAATATACTGTAATTTTGTTTTTGAATATGGTTGCTTTTTTCCCTTTGCAAACAACGCTTTGCTGCAGTTGTAGATAAAGTTGCCTCTTTGTTCTTTTGGCTAGGTGATAGAAGAAGGTAGAGCTGTGCGTGGCTTTGACTGGCCAGCCAGACAAGCGTGCTGCTTAAATAAGCCCTGCTTACTCTAGCTTTCTTCTGAAGAAAGTATGTGCTGTTACCACCTGCTCCCTGTGTGTAATGTAAGAAACAGAGATAATTGGCATAGCAAACCCTACACCTTATCATTGTTTTTGTGTACTATTCAGAAATACCAGAAGACCTCAATTTAGGTCTCTACTTTTTAAAATTTTATCCAAACTGAGAAGTAGAAAAGTATTGCATTTTTGTTCTTGATTTTTATAAATTACATGTTAAGATTTGCTGTGAGACATATTAATTTTATCATTTGTCATTCTAAAAATTCTGTTGTCTTTATCTACAAAACAAATGTACTTTTAGAATGCTTCCATGATGTTTTGAGGACAATGAAAAGAATCCCTAAGCCGCAATGGTGGAGCACACCTTTAATCCCAGAGCTTGGAAGCAGAGGCAGGTGAATTTCTTTGAATTTAAGGCCAGCCTGGTCTACAGACCAAATTCCAGGACAGCTTACACAGGAAAGGCTACACTGAGAAACGCTGTCTAGGAAAAAAAAAAAAAAACCTCCCTAGTCTGCAGCCCTGCCAGTTACCCTCTATGGAATAGCAGTGACAGTGTCTTGTCCCCTCTGTGGGTGCTCCACTCCACAGGCGCTGTCTCAAGGAAGCACAGGTGGTCTTCGCTATTCGTTTTCTAGTTCAGCTCTGTTCTTTTCTCCCTCCAGCAGTAATGGTAACAGCAGTAGCTGGAGCAGTCTTGGTTTAGAAGGAGATTTGTATGAGGACAATTTATCCTTTCCAACATCAGACAGGTTGGTCCAGTTTAGAAACTTAAAAACTGATGAGTCTTTCACCACTAATGCATGATGTCATGTTCTTAAGAGAATATGTATCAACCTGCTTTTCTCCTAAATTTTGACATAATTCTGCTCGATACATTTACATCTAATGAAAATTTCAACTAGCTAAAATATGACTGACATCTAATTGCAAAATGTGTGACTGTTTGCATGGGTTGCTCTGCTTGCTATTTTTCATTCTACCAATGATTTCATTAAAAAGAGCTTGCTTCCTACAGGATTTCTGTTGTTTTTTTGTTTTGTTTTGTTTTGCTATGTAGTTTAATTTTATATATAATTAGTAGAAAAATTGTTTTAAAACATATTCAGTGGCATTAGTAGAAGCAGTAATACTTCATTATTCATGACATTCTGTGATATTCAAATAGTATATTGCTTAAAACCAAATTAGAATATTTCACCTTCATTTGAAGTTGCTTGGCTTTAAATGTCATGATAAAGAGAGGCTTCTATAGGCACTATGTGCAACCTGTATTTTAACATGAAATAATGTGAGAAGCAAAGCTTCATTCTGATTGTCATTTCCTTCTTTCTAAATGTCATACGTCATATTGTAACATTTTCATTCCTTACTACTTTTCTGAGAAGTGGTTTAATCCATTACTAATTAAGCCTTTTTTTTTTTTTAACTGCTTCTGTTGTTTTCTTTGAAAAGTGATGGACCAGATGATAGAGATGACGATCAGGAGGATGGTGTGGAAGGTTAGTCACAATTTGCTTCTCTAAGCCTTTGTTTGTGTAAGTCTTCATGATTTGTATTTATGCCACTTACAGATTGGTTTTGGATTGTTGGTATGAAACACACAAATCACCCCGTCTCAGAAATAAAAAGTTTGAGGAAGAAGCTTAGGATATATTTTTCTTTCCAAAATTTAAGTCTAAAATCCTTATGTTACAAAATTAATTTATTGTAATTACAGCATTTTATTTATTACTGTGTTTTAGTTACTTTTCTTGTGGCTGTGACAAAGTGCTTTCAGAAAGAGAAGGAGTTTCTGGCAGGGTGTGTGGCAGTGGGAGCTGGTGGCTGGAGGAAGGGCAGATAGGAAGCCAGCAGAGGCAGAGGGGCTGTACTACTCAAAGGCCCACCCCTTCGGACCTGCCTCTGTCAGGCCCCAAATAATAATGATTTCACAATGTCCCAAAACAGTGCCACTTACCTGGGGACCAGAAGTTCATTCAAACTATACCTTTTATGTTTTCCTTCAAATTGGTAACTTAGAATTGGTATTTTTCTCAAATTTCCGTGAGCTGAAAAGTAAACATGGAAAGGCACTTTAAATGTTCCCTCCCTTCTCTCTCTTCTAATTCTGTACTCACATATACACATATTTGAAGGAAGTAATCCTTTCTTTAGTGAATAGAGTTTTTACTATGCCAACATTAGGTATCATTGACTGTAGAATTTTGAACATGATTTGTGATCTTAATTCATATACTAAAATATCCAAGTGAGCCTAGAGACTTCACTCACATCAAACCTGTTTTCATTGTGTTCAGATAGTTTTTGGACGCCCTCCTCATATCTTACTTTCTTAAAATATAAAAATGATAATAGTTTCTGTAAAACAGCACATCTGAATTAAAAATATTATTTAATATAATTATTAATATTTTGAACTAGTGAAGTTTTGTTGTTTCTTTAGAAACAAGAAAACTGAAGGCTCAGGATGGCTTTGTGTGTTCTATATTGGGAATACAACCCTATACCCTAATGCCACAAATGTAGGCGCACTGTCACACTGACAAATGCTCCAGAGGATTTCTTGAGTAGAGGGTATAACCCCTGAATTTCCAACCAGTTTGTCCACAGTGCTCTTGTTCAGGGAAGTTGCATAATAGTTGTTAAGCCGAAATTCTCAGATTTAAGATTACTGCTATTTAAAAATTTTTAAATGACATTTATTTGTTTTGTATGATGCACATGCATGTGCGCATAGCTGTGAACACTTGACTAACGCTGTTCATGCTTCTCACGTGGAGTCAGTTCTCTCCTACCACGTGGGACTTAGGATTCAAACTCAGGCCGTCAAACTTGCCAGAAGTGCCTTTACCAGCTGAGCCATCCAACTAACCCAGATTATTAATAAAGCTTTATCTTTATTTTATGCAAATGGATGTTTTGCCTACATCTGCCTGTGTAGTACTCAAGAAGGCCAGAAGAGAGCATCAGATTCCCCTGAAACTGGAGTTCAAACAGTTAAGAGCTACCATGTGGGTGCTGGGTGTCAAATCTGGCTCCTCTGCAAGAGCAGCCAGTGCTCTTAGCTACTAAGTCATCTTTCAAGCCCTTATTATAATTTTTAGAATTAGTAATAATCTAGGTAATATTTACTTCATTTTTGTTCATTAATATGTTGGCCTTTAAAAGTCATATACTTCTCCCTAATAACTCTCATGGATATAATTATTTCAAAGACTATTCATGAACATATGCACGTCATGTTATTACTGTTATTATTAGTTATTACCTAGTTTTTATTTAACTAACTTTGCTGAGGAATGATAAAGAGGTGCAAGTTAATATGAATAAAATAATTCATTAAAAGAATTTATCAGCCGGGTGGTGGTGGCGCACGCCTTTAATCCCAGCACTCGGGAGGCAGAGGCAGGCGGATCTCTGTGAGTTCGAGACCAGCCTGGTCTACAAGAGCTAGTTCCAGGACAGGCTCCAAAACCACAGAGAAACCCTGACTCAAAAAACCAAAAAAAAAAAAAAAAAAAAAAAAAAAGAATTTATCAGTAGGCCTGAGAATTTTTTATGTTTATAAGTAGAAACCAGGAGGTTAATTATATGCAGTTGTGTTATTCCTCAGCTCTTGACATCATAGGCATCTCTCATATACGAAGCTACATCCAACTTCTAAATTTGTTCCATTAGAAGATAGATTGGTTTAGATTTACAGCTTCAAAATTAGGGGATTCCTACAACAACAGATACCTGCTTTTTAAACCTCCCTCCCTTCCTTCTTGTTAATTTATTTTGGTTAGGAGGCATCAGCCCTAACCTCTGTTGAAGTTTCCCATCAGGTGGGCAGCCAGCAGGCCCTAACCAAGGAAACCCTAGCAGTGTAGAGAACCACTAAGTGACTAGTTACCAATCCCAGAAACACTGCAGGCTTTACTAAGGGCCTTAGACACTGTGTCTTGTTTTATAGTATATCAGACCTCCTTTAAAACAGACAAACCGTTTCCTAAATTAGTTCTTCATGTTTAGCATGTAAAATGATGGATTTTATGTGTTTTCTTAATATATATCATACTTTCCTCTTACTCATCCCCATCTCTCATTGTCCCTCCTTCCCTGTGGTCCTCTTGTTAGGTCTTCTCCCTAACATGTGATCTTCCCCTATGCTCATGTCACATGACTCCCATTACCCTTGCTTCCCTCCCCCTTAAGATTATTTTTCTTTGCTTCTCAGGAGTCTTCCTTCTACCTTCATGACTCATACAGATATACACATGTGCATGTATGTATACATGTACGTATTTTAAATGTTGATTCTGTATAGGAAAGGAAACATACACCAGACATACTCTTGATTGAGACTAACTGGCACAAAGGAAGAAAAGATAAATTTCTGAGAATACTGTGAATTAAAAATAAAGGGTCGACACAAATTATAAAAATGATTAGTAGTGGTCTAGAGTTCCATATAACAGAAAAATGTCCATCAACATCAACATCTCCAGCATTAGTACATACTGGTGTGCGGACTGTCAGCATGCCCTTGATACTTCTTGTACTCAGTCATCCTGAAGCAGGAGTATCCAACATGCTGTTGGTTCCATCAGCCAGCGAGGCTATCTTCTCTGGATTGAAAGCATCATTCTCATTAACAAGAAAATAAACTTGAGGGCCCTGTCTTTTGTATTATATTTAAATTCACTTCAAACAATATTTTACATTTGTTCCATGTAATAATTTGTAATTTGTTCCAAGTAAATAATCAATGTTATTCCTTTGTTTTAAGCATTATTTTGTCCTTAAGACATGCTTTATTTGACATTATGGTATAGCTAAGGAAAGCATTCACTGGAATCTTTAAATTGAAACCAGAGTTTTGAAAGTTGAGTTGATGAATTTCACTTCATATTGTTTAAATTTATTGTTAGATTTGCAACAGAATGGAAAGACTATGCTAATCATGAACATCGACATGGAACCAGGGGCAGTAGATCCACAACTAAGGATTATTCTTCAGTGGCTTGTTGCCTCTGAGGCTGAAGTTGAAGAACTTTATTTTCATGACTCTTCAAAGAAGGAATTTATATTAGTAAGTACCTCCCTTCTAGAGTGGTTGTGAGGAAATGGTAACACTATATAATAATCTTACTACATTGTTGGTTAGCAAAATGCTTGCTGTTTGCACAATATTAACACGTAGGCCATGGAATCTCACAGTTGGGATTCAGAAGTCAGTTCTGCCGCTTTCCAGTAGGTGTAACCGTGGAGAGGGGAGTCAGTGGATGCCTCAGTTTTCTTAGTTGCATTGTGGGATTACCTTGCAGGTTTATGAGGATTGATTATAATACTCTAAAAAGAAGTGTTAACCCTAACCCTAAAATTTAAATGTCAGTAATAAGCAGCTAATGTATTCTTTATAAAAGATCCAGCTATTCTACTTCACTGATTCATAATCGTACCTAATTAATTAGGTCTTTCTTATCCCATGCAAATGGAAGGCTGGTATAATGAAAAACCAATAACAGAGTAGATAAGATACTTTTCTTGAGTATTTTTAATATGTACCAAGCATTGTGTTAATAGGGATTTTCAGTTTATAGTTTTACAAGTGTTTCTCCCCTGGTTTTCCTTATGAAAATTTATATTAATCTTACCATAGACTATAAAACAGTTCAGGGAATAACCAATATAGATCTATCAATAAAGACAGGAAAGGAAAACCCAAGTTACTCTTAGTTTCTGGTTCAGAATATGACAGTATTGTTGGGAGATATCTGAAAGATGTAAACAGTCTGACACTGACTTTTCCTTAGTCTGGGGTTTATTAGCGTGAGGCTTCTGCTGGAGGAGGAGAAAATAGTCTGGAAGAGATGCTCAAGACATGAATTGTCAAGTGGAAGTGTGGGTCAGGGGGCTGCTAGAACTGAGGCCTGAGGTTGACAGGTGGTTGTCAGAGGAGGCCTCGCCTTCGTATGACCTAACCCAGGGATCTTTGCCTGACTGAGTCAACTCCAGTGCTCAGTTGTGATGGCACACACACATTTATTATGCTTGTGGCTTATTTTAACCATATGGCTGATTTTAAATAATGACTTTCAGACACCATATCTTGCTAGGACAGGGCTACTGTTTTATATATATAGATATTATATTATATATTATATAACTAAATAGGTATATAACTACATATAACTATATATCTTCACAAGGCTACTAGGGATATATGAAACAGTTAGGAAGCAAGTTCAGGTTATGTTTAGTGGTGTGAGAATAATAGCAATACTGTATGTCTTGCTGGGTCATATATTTAATTTTGATATTTTCACTATTAAATAGAACAAACAGTACTACCTTGAGGATGAATGGAAGATGACATACAATGTGTCAAGAAGATATAAACATATTCATATAAGTGACAAAAGAGAAGCTAAAGATTTACCCTGACACACTGTCGTCAGAGTGAGAAGACAGTGTGTGTGGAAGGAAACACCGCAGTTGTGTATCTGCTAATGTTCTTAGCCCTAACACATAAAAACTCCTTCATCTTAAAAATAGAAGGGCACCCGTCTATCTGAAAAATGGACTAAGAGTTATTACTGCATTTCTTAGTTAGGCTTTCTGTTGCTGTGATGAAGCACCATGACCAAATGCAGGTTGGAAATACTGCATCCTTCCTACAGTTCTTAGAATCTACAGTGGGGAAGCTGTTGTGGAGAACATCTGACAGATCCCCAAAAGGCCAAGTACAATATTGCCATGTTACCCAGCATTCCACTGATTGGTGGTGTGCACCTGAGAGACATAAAAAACAATACAGAAATGTCCATGGCAACATAATTCATAGTAGGTACGAAGTAAGAATGTGTTATAGGCCTCTAATCCCAGAACTCTGTAAGTAGAGGCAGGAGGATTACTGTGTGTTTGAGGCTACCCTGGGTTAAATAGGGGGAGTTCTGGCAAAGTTAGGGATACATAGAAAGACCCTCTCTCAAACAAACAAATTAGAACAAAACAAAGAGAATTCTCCACCTGTTCATCAGCTAATGAATGGAGAAGGAGCTTTGTTGGCTAGTATAAAGTGGTAGAAAGTGCTACGCCGTGGTAAACCCTCAAGGTAACTCTGCTAAGCAGAAGACCATACAGAGTGCACAGCTCCATTTCTGTGAGATGCCCCCGAGCAGCACAAAGTAGATGAGTGCTCTGTCTGAAGGTGCTGGGGAAGATGAAGAGAGGGGCTTCTGATGGAGAGGGCTCCTTCTGTGTGAAGAGAGAGCATTCCAGTATTGGCTGTGTGGTAGTTGTCTTCAATTCATTCATATACCAAAATCCCATTGCTTATGAATTATATCACAAAGCTGTTTTTAGAAAAAGAACATTAGTAAAATAGTTTTTCAGAATTTATTTTGCAGATCTTTTAAACCTAAGAATTCTTACAGAGTTGAGTAGACAGAAAAGTAAATAAGGCCATGTTCTGTTTGCTGTGGTAGAGTTTCTTTAAACCCGTTTACTCTTTTGCTTGTTTTTTGTTGAAGCATTACATTTCTTAACTTAGGAAGCTGTGGTTCCGTTGAGGCTGGAATGTTTTCCGGAATACAAACCACACTATAGGTTGTGGAAAGAAAATCCACATCCTTTTATTAAGCTTGACATTGTTGTTACTATTTTGTTCCTAATTGAGGGTGTGGCAGGTGTATTTAGTTAGGTGCAGAATTTCCTGCAGACGGTTTGACTGCACTCCCACACAGACTCTCCACTCCAGGGTTTGTGTCCTGTTTCTGGCGATCCTGAGGTGCCATTCTGTGGAGACATGCTAATAAAGGGCAAGAAAGGAAAATGCTCAGTTTGGGTAAAGGGGTGGTGCTTGAGGGGACATGTTATAACTGGGAAAGAATATTTCATTGTCAACAGCAAGGTTCCCAGTTTTGTCTGAAGATAAAAATGAAAAATCATTGTTAAAACACTTTCTGTTGATGTGTGTTAATGTCTGTAATCCTTCTTTCTTAGCTTTCGAAACAATTGAAAGAGAAAGGATGGAGAGTGGGAGATGTCCTGCAGGCCGTGTTTAAATACTACGAAGTGCTGGAAAGAACTTCAAGTGAGGAAAGATGCAAGTCGCTGTTCGATTGGCTTTTGGAAAATGCCTAGGTCAAACTCCAGACCAGTATATTTTATTGTTTGTTTTTGGAAGTAAAGAAACTGATGTTTAGGATATTTAGAATAAAATTAAAATGCAGAATATTAACATTTTAATTGAATTGAGAGGAAAGTAAGAAGCCTTTTAAATGCTTCCTGTCATCACACTGTATATAGTTGATACTTTTGTAATCTTTGTCAGAATGTTCTCTTATTCTTCTGTACATGTCTTTGTGTTGTGATGCTGAGAAATGTCTGTGAAGGAGGATCTAATGCTGAGGCTGGGGGTGTTGCCCAACAGCCTTTGTTTGGATCTACTTAGTGCTGCTGCAAACAGGGCTGAGGCAGCTGGCCTGGCCCAAGTGATGATTTTGTTCCTTTGGAAGTAAGTGGCATCTGACGATAATTCATCTGACATCAAGGAAGAAATCAGAGGCTGATATTTTGTTATGTGTTTATTTCTAATAAGTTTGTAATCTTTATGTACTGTTCTTTTAGAACAGTTTATTTCCATAGTTCCGCTGTTGGTACTTGTAGATTTCCCCAGACCTTTAATTCGTTAGCATACACATAGTGATTTAGGATTCTGTGAACACCGTGAGTGAGTTTCCTTAGCCTTCCATCAAGTGACGTTATTTGCTACTGCTGCCTATCATCCTGGAATGAGAAGGGAGGGGGAGAGGTGTTGAGAGCGTGTGCAAGAATAAACTTAAACCTCTCCACTAGTTTATTTTCTTTCACTTTAGTGTTTTCTCAGTTAGAAACCCACTGTTAACATTAAATAAAATGTCTAAATATTGTGCAGTAAGAATTTTGTCTTTTTGATTTATTCCACAAATGAAAATTCAGGTTGTAAAACACATTGAAATTTTAATAATTAATGTGGAAATATACTCAGAGAAGCCTAATAATAAGCTTCAGCTTTGGGTTTTTGAAGAAGAAAAAATGCCCACTTCCCCAAGAATAATTTTCTTTTAGCATAGTAGGCACCCTCCCTGCAGAGCGGACCTGACTGTTTGTGATGTTCCCATACATCGTCTTTGGCCTCCACATTCCGTGCTGTGGTCTGAGGAAAAGCAAGTTGATGTGAGTGAGGTGAGCCAGGCTCTGTGTCAGGTGTGTCTGTGATGTGCAGATGCTGCGCACATTTCCTCCACTAAGAGTCTGGAATCAAGGCCAAATCAGTTTTGTGGGGCTCTTGGTTTTTCTCTTTTATTGCTGCTCTCCCCAAGCTCTGACTTTACTAGAAGCTGCGATGAGTAGGAGACAGCACCTACCAGGCGCTCAGATGGACCTGCATTAGTAATTAGAGTGGAGAAGTGTATTGTACGAGAAAGCCTCACCTTGGCTTTACTCAAGAACCACATTGTAAACTCTAGTTTTTCTCAGTGTAACATAGAAACAAGGCCAGCCTTAAAAATACATTTTTCTATGTTTTCTCAAATATTTTTCAGTTTTGGGAAGTGCAGGGAAATATATCCAGGTGTGCTTTTGTGCAGTTGTGGGCTTATACTGTACTTGTACAAGGAAATATCACACTACACTTATGTAATTTGCGTGTATGTATTGGTTAGATTAACAGCAAAACTGAGTTCTAAATTTCTTTGAAGTGTAATTGGCTATATATTGGTTTTATAAAACGGAAACTGCTTTAGGCTTATTTATGTTAATGGTATAATCACTTGAGGCAAGCTTACCCCTTATGTTCTTGTTTCTTTGGTATTTTGGTGAAGCTGCTCTATACTCAGTGTTCTTTATTTAAATGCTACCTACTGACAACAGTCAGAGGCGCTGGCCTGAGTTGTAACATTAATAGTAGGACTCACATTGTGTCAGTTCTGTGCCGGAACACGGAGAACGTTAGAAGTATTGGCAGGGCGAGCAGACGTGTGGGTCGTTTTCCTACAGAAAGTGTTTGCATGTCGAGCAATGCCATGGACCAGGTGCAGTGTAAAGCAAGCTGTTGTGAAGCCTTCTATGCTTTCCCCAGACTTGCTCCATCCGTTTGCGCGTTCAGTCTTCGGAGCACCGCTGTTGAGGTAGCTCCGTCTCACAGATCTCCTGACATATTTGTAATGGACATTGTATACTGCCATCATGTACACTTGGCTCCCAATGAAATACATTTTACTGGACAATGTTAAACTTGTGATGTGCTGATTCTTGGTTTGCCAGTTTTAAAGGCATGCTGTGATGGACAGAAAGTGAGAGACCCCTGCTGAGGAACTTCTGGACCGATCTCATACTGAAATAGCAAGCGCATTTGTTTGTGTCCGTCTTTGTCTAAGTTGACCTTAAATGACGTTTGTATTTTATATGTTATTAATGTTGACTTTGGAAAGTATCTCCTGATTCAAGAGAAATGTCACCGAAGAAATGGCAATAGAGATGGGCTGGCTCCTTGTGATGTAAAGCTGACTTTACAGTAGCCTCCAGTGACCACATATAGTGTCTTTGTACTTTGAGAAATGCTTAATTTATCCCTGAAGATGTTTAATGTGAATTAGTTCAGTTCATACTACTATGATTCTGCTTAGCAAAGGGTTTCTGTTGCTGGGAGGGAGGTTTGTGTATTAAATGCACTGTGTAGAGTACAGATACTTGACCCATTTGACAGCCGGCAGCTTTGACAGTGCTGGTACATGTTCTCCATCGTTGAGTCCGGAGCCGTGCGACTGCCCGCTATTTCTCCACAACTACTATCACCAGTTTCTAGTCAGTGTATTATTTTGTAATTTTTCAGAGAAATCTTTACACAGAGTTTAAATATGCTGAGTGCACACATGAGGAGGGAAAATGCTTTCCATGTAAAACCCTGTCTGCCTGTCACCAGCACTCAAGAAGCAGAGAGTGTCTGATAATCGGAGGGGCCGTGCTCAAGCGAAGTGCGCCTTTCTCCTTGTCAGCACAGCCCTGTAGGCGTCCCTTGTTTGCTGTGCGCCTGCTCTGCACCGGCGGGCGCGGTGCTGGTCACTCCTGCCACTTTATTTATTTATTTTGACCACCTGTACATTCCTTCCATGTAGTTAGAGCTGTTATTCTTCAAGTTCTTATTTCAGTTTGTCGTACGGTTTGAACACTATTTAATGCCAGGCTTATATGTTGCTAAATTCTTGCTGCCTGTGGTTACTTGTGCCGTGTTCAAAGTAATCCGCATTCTTGTTCAGTTACTGAATATTAAGTAGAAGCGACTTTGAATAATTGTGGCTATTTGTTTGGGTTTGCTCAGTTAGTGCATTAAGGTCTTATAATGTGTAGTAGTAACTCTTCTTTTTGCTCTTGAGTAATTTAATGTTCATTTACCAAAATAGGAACTTCGAGATGCATTTGAGTTTTGTTTTAGCAGTGGCTCAGAAAATGTTTCAGAAATTACTTTTGTAATAATTTGCAATTAATTGTTCTTTTCACTTTACTCTTGTTCAAGCCTGTGATCTTTCCTCTTCCAGCTAAGAATTATCCAATAAATTTAAGAAATGTCAAGCTGTGGTTTTCATTCTGTAGCATCGTGTTCATTCTGTGTTGAACTAAAACCAAGACACTCAATAATGCTATGTTAGAAGACACAAAAGGGGCCAAGTGCTTATGTCATGGCTTTGTTTTGTGTTGTATTTTGAGTCAGGGTTTCTCTGTGTAGCCCTGGCTGTCTTAGAACTCTCTTTGTAGACCAGGTTGGCTTCAAACTCAGAGATCTGCCTGCCTCTGCCTCCCAAGGGCTGGGATTAAAAGCGTGTGCCACCATGCCCACCTTATGTCATGGTTTTTGAGGGCAGGTGAAGGTTAGGAATATTTTAGTTGAACGTTAGATTCTGTTGATTTCAGAGATGCCATAAGGGTACTGTAGGGACTTTGAAGCAGGCTGTTCATTTTGGATTTAATGCAAGGGTAAAAAGGATGCTGCCTCAAACATGAGCACGATTTTAAAATTCTTTTGATCTGCTCATGACTTCTCTCCCGCAGCAGCCTGAATAGCACCTACTATACTATTAAAGCTAGAAAGGCAGGGAGGCAGCCTCTGGCTCAGTAACAGTTTGTTCTGCAACCACAGGTGGTTTCAGCAAAAGTGTCTGACCATCAAGTTCTGGCGGGCAAGCAAGAACAAATGACAGTTGCTTGTGTTATGTTAGGGGTCTCCAGGTCATCCTGACCCATAACTCAAGGTGAAGCATCACACACATGGCACAAACCTGGAAATTAGTTTAAAAGATGTTACTTAATAAGATCTGTATAAAGAATTAATGGGTGTGTTAGATGGCTCCTGAAATTTTTGTAAAAAGGAAAGCTGAAGGTTTGACCACAACGGAAAATTGTTAAAATTAAAACACTAAAATTCTTATCTCTGTCCCCTCATGAAAGCACACATTTCAGGGTTTTCTCTGCAGCTCATTAAAATTGGGTGGTGGAAAGGCTGTTGCTCCCCTGCTGCAGGCAGAGAAGAGGCTTCCTCTGTCTGCAATGCCCATGTCCTGCTCATGCCCATGTCCTGCAGGCAGGGAAGAGGCTTCTTCTGTCTGCAATGCCCATGCCCTGCTCTTATTTTGGATTCCTGCATCTACCTGATTTAGAGATTAGAACTCCAAACCAGGGCCAGAGCTGAGGCCTGAGGGAACAAAAGGCCACAGTCCTGTAAAGAGGCTGGAGGAAGAGGTGGTAGGGACTGGGGAGTGTCCTAATTAGGGCCATCATTGCTGTGATGAGACACCCTGACCAAAAGCAACCTGGGGAGGAAAGGGTTTATTTGACTTAACACCTCCACATCACTGCTCATCACTGAAGGAAGTCAGAGCAGGAAACTCCAACAGGGCAGGAGCCTGGAGGCAGGAGCTGCTGCAGAAACCATGGAGGGGTGCTGCTTACTGGCTTGCTCCCCATGACTTGCTCAGTCTGCTTCCTTATAGGGCCCAGAACCACCAGCCCAGGGATGGCACCACCCACCATGGTCTGAGCCCTCCCACATCAATCCCTACTTAAGAAAAACCCCTGCAGGTTTGCCTTCAGACCGATCTTACGGAAATCTTTTTTAAAATTGAGATTCCCTCCTCTCAGATGACTTTGGCTTGTGTCATGTTGACATAGAAGTATCCAGCACAGGTAGGATGGCGGAGCAGGCCTTCAAGCTAGAGCAGGAGCAATGCCAGGGAAGGAAAGCTATTCTTGGCTGGGAATGTGAAAGGCAAAGCTGCACCCTGACCACGGTGATCCTGAGGCATGAGCAGCAGTGCTGACAGGCCAGGGTCTAGCTTGTGAGACTCAGGAACTGAGAGGTTGGAGCTCCGGCTAGCCAGCCACAGTGGTAATTTGGCGGTCTGCTCTCAACAGCGGTTCCCATCTGCCTCCCGCCAGCGTGGACTGGTCACAGAACTACAGGACTGGATGGCTGCTGTGGGGACACGCTACCTTCCCACAAATGCCCTGCAGCCTGTTCTTCATGGGTCACTTGAGATAGTATTTGGGACCGATTTAGAAGCACATATGTTCCGGGGCAGTAAGAGGGAGCCTTTGGAATGGGACAAACTGTGTCCAAGTCTGGATGCTAACTGCGAGGCCGAAGCTGCAGTGCCGCTGTGTGCCTCAGGGTGGTACAGCAGCACAGTCTATGGCTTACAACACAGTAAAGCCTTCTTATTCCGGTGAGCCTGATCCAAGTCTTTCTTAGTCTCCCGTATTTCTTGTTTCAAACAGGCTGGATCCTAATTTAGCCTGTATTTTCAGGTCTTTTCTTGCTGGCTTGTTTCCATCCCCAGTCAGAACTGGGGCGTTTTCTTAAGTTACTAAAAAGGAAACCCCTCTCTACCTAAATTCAGCCTCAATTTCAGGGCGGAGCTGCTCCTATGGGCACCTGGTGTGGGCCAGGCTTGCCTAAGGCAGAGCGGAAGTCGGAACCGCCTGGCGGACGGTCAGGTGAGCTCAGACACAGGGCACCTTGTACGCTGCACCCGAACACCCGTCCTCTCTGAAGGGAGCACACTGGACTTCACGGCCTAAAGTTCCTTTTCTAGTAAGTTTTGGTTTTCTGACTTCAGGTTTGAAGGCGTCAGAGCCGTAATCCAGGTGGCAGTCCTCATTCTTGACAGCTGCGCAATGACCGAGCCCCGAGAGGTACGTCCGTGTGGGTGGACAGACCTATAATTATATCGCTTCACGACTTTTAAATGATTTTATGAGTTACTCTCTGACCCAGATAACACTGATCTTTTTTTTTTCTGACAAAGATTTTTTTAAAAAAATACACTTCATTTTGGCTCTTGTGTTATTTCTTTGAGTCAGCGCCATTATTTCCTGAAAGATGATAGACACACTCTCACTCCCAGCATGATAAAGGATTCAAAATAAACTTGTAGCGAAAGGATCCCCTTACTATAGGATCGATTCACACTGGAATCTAGAACATACTAATGTACTGTTTGACTGGTCAGAAGCATGCAGGAGGGGAAAATTGTCTGCTGGGATATAGTTAAAACTTCCTGGAAGTGGCTGTTGGTGACAGCCAAGCTGAAGAGACTACCTATTCATGTAGCTCCAAGGGTTCCCCAACTTCAAGTTCTTGATTTTATCTCTTATGGGTTTTTATTATCATTTTACTGCATTTTTATTATTTGTGTGTGTGTGTGTGTGTGTGTGTGTGTGTGTGTGTGTGTGTGTACCTGCATACCATGACATGCCCATGGAAGTCAGAGGACAAGTTCCAGAAACTGTTCTCTTCTTTTCCCATGTGGGACCTGGGGATTGGGTTCAGGTCATCAGGTTTGGTGACAAACATCTTCACCCACACTGAGCCCGCTCCCCAGTCATCTCTCTTTAGTCTTCAAATAAATCAAGACAAAACATTACTTTTAGTTGGCAAAAATAATGCCTGCCCCTAATACGTCCAGATATAGAACCCTGGAATCCTTGAATCTGTTACCTTACATGGTAAAGAGAGATTTATTTCTTCACTTAGTACTCATTTATTTATCCCTTTTCCCAAGACAGGGTTTCTCTGTGTAGCCCTGGCTAACCTGGAACTTGCTTTGTAGATCAGGCTGGCCTCGAACTCACAGCTGCTGCATCCTGAGTGCTGGGGATTAAAAGTGTCGGGGTGCACTATCACAGCCCACTTTCATTTATTTATTTCTCTTGAGACAGAGTTCTGTACCGCCCAGGTTGGCCTCCAGCTGACTCTGTAGATGACAATGGTTTTGAGCTCCCGATTGTTCTGCCTCCGGATGACATGACCCTGAGATGGGGAGATTAGCCGTAACTATCTATGAGAGTTCCATGAGTCTCCATTGGGAGACGGTTCTGGCTTTTGGAGAGTGTGGCTGCAGAGCGAGGGGCTGAGAGGGATGTGCTATCCTTGCTGTGAAGGCCGAGAAAGGCCCCAAGCCAACAAGTGCAGGCTGTCGTTGTTAACCAGAGCAAGGGTGAAAATGGATTCTGGGAGCCTGTGGAGACAGAGGGCGCCCCGAGAACACCCGTGTTAGATGTCTGACCTCTGAAACTTTGAAATGGTGGGAGCTACATATTAAGGCTCCATGTTTGTGCAATGTATTAGAACAGCTGATCCAGGGTGGTAGCCATTAGCCATGTGCAGGTGAACTGCCTGAATTGTGACTAATTCAAACTGTACTGTGTCACATGCAGATCAATTTCAAGCTTTAGTGGGAAAAAGTAAAAACAACAAAAAAAGTCTCTAATATTTTATCTCTATTGATTATATGTCAAAATGGCACTATCTTGAATTGATTTTTTTTAGATGAAATGAAACACATTATTTTTTTCACTAAAAATGCATTTAAAGATGCAACTGATAAAAATTGAAAGCGCAGCTATGGCTTGCATTCCTGGCCCACAGGATGCTTCTCCTGGGCAGAGCAGCAGTGCCGGATCCCTGAGAGGTAAGAGGCAGTCGTCCTGATGACTGGCTGTTCTCTTAGTGCTGAGTAGTGATAGTGTTCAGATCCAGGCTGGGTTACTAGAGAAAGCCAGGCTTCCTGTGTCCTCTGGGACTGGATCACAGGTGGAATGCTATACGGGTCTCTATGTCCTCAGCACCCCAAAGAATGTCTAGCACATGTGCAGAAATGCAAAGAGCATGCGGCATCAGTGTTAGCAAGCTCTCGAAGTCCTGATGTGACAAAAGCTGGCAAGTTCATTCAGACACAGTCGCCCTGGAGGAGCTAGGAGCCATGGTCTAAGGGGATGCAGCAAACTGGGTTTTTCCCATTGTGACCAGCGTTTGTTGTTCTGTCTTTCCCTTCCAGGCTGGGGTCATTTGCCATTTTCAGCAGAAATGTCAAGCAGAGAAACCAGAAGGCTGCCTTGTAGCCCAAATACCAAGCCGTAGCCACGCACAGCCTCCGACTTATGTCTGTGACCGCTTCCCGGCAGGTGCAGAGAAAAATGCCCCAAGCTCAGAATCAAGGGACCAACTTTGCCTTTGAAATTTTGATTCTCCTCTGAGCTGCTTCATGATCAGTTTAGCATCCCTTAATCCTA